TTGAAGCGGCTCCAGAAGACAGTCTGTAAACATTAGAACTTCTTGCCGTTGTGTGGGCATTAAGTAAACTACAAGGGCCTTTAAATGTAGTCACAGATTCTTACTATGTAGCAGGGGTAGGACAAAGAATAGAAGATGCAGCAGTCAAGGAAGCCCAGAACAAAAGACTATATGAATTGTTGTTGCAACTAAAACGGGCTGTGAGGGCTAGAACAGAACCCTATTGTGTTATTCACATTCAAAGCCACAAGTGGGATGTAGGATTAGGAGAAGGAAATGCAAGGGCAGATAGATTAGTAATGAATGTAGTTGATGACAAAATAACAGAAGCCAAGGAGTCGCATGCTCGATTCCACCAGAATGCAAAAGGATTGGTGCGAGAATATAGAATAGCAATCCAAGAAGCAAAAGCTATAGTAAGAGCTTGTCCATTTTGCATCATCACAATAGTGGTAGAGGCTTCTCACCCTACCTCATGTACAAAAAGAGCAATTCAAACTAAACTTATATACTGTATGCTTCGACATATTCATTCATGTTTCCCAGAAGTTTCCCCCTACTTCCAATTTTAAAACTTTTAAATTTAAATTTAAATTTAAATTTTTAAATTTAAATCACTATTCTTCATGGTCCATGCTTCACTTGTTGCTAGGAGGTCTTCAGTCTTCTTTTGGCGGTCTTTTGGTTGAAGGCTTACACTCATCCTCATTGTCCTCTGGATAACCTCACAGGTTGCACGTGCGTACTAAGCCTAGTGTTATGTAAGTGAGCATTGCGCTCCACTAATTAGTCTTATCTTTTATAATTTTCAGGCCTCATGCCTAAAGTCATACCAACTTTATCCATCTCAAGGTCGATTTTGTCTTAGGACATTTCTTATCTCAAAATTACATCATCTACCTTAATTTTAACATGTAACATCTGTAGGGGGGTACATCTGCCTTGTAACACTAATTCCCTTGATTGCTCCTAATAATAACTTTCCAAACAGTTACAATTTAGTTAGCACAAATCATTGCCATTTATTACAGAAGGGTGTGAAAACAGGAGCATTGTTTGGTGTGGCCTCCTCTCTGCCTTTCACACCTTTCAGCGCTTTGACGCAGCCAAGAGCTTTCTCCAATAGTGCAATGAAGCAGCTGCTCCTGCTCCCAGCTCTGGCTCTTCCCAGTCTCTGACCCTGCCTGGTTTTGTCCCTCTTTGCTGTGCCCTCTGTTCCCCCAGGGGCCTGCCCCAGACTGAGGGATCAGATCCAGGCACTGCTGCTGCTCCCTCGGGACCAGCCCCAGTTTGGTTGTTGCTGGCAGTGCCAGCAGAAGCTGTGGCTGGAGCAGCAGGTGCTGACAGTGGCCCAAGGTCAGGGGCTGGAGGGGTCCCTGGGCTGGGGCTGGGAGGGAGCTGCCCCTTGTTCTCCCTCTGCCTCACACAGAGCTGGGCCGGGCACAAGTGGGGCAGCAGAGCCAACAGAGAGCCTGCGAGTCTCTTCCAGCCGTGCCTGCTCAGAGTTTGGCCTTGGAGCTCCAGGTGGACAAAGGCAGCTGCTCTGGTCCCTCTGCGTGTGCCCGTGTTCAGCACTGCTGCTCCATCAGTCTGTGCCCAGCAACGGGGAAAAGCCTCAGCCCTGCAGGGCCAGGAGCTGCCGGGCTCTGCCTGAGCAGCTCAGCCAGCGCGAAGGGAGCTGCTCCACACGGGAACCCAGAGCAAAGGACATGCCTTTTCCAGGACATGTTTTCTGTAGAAAAACAAACAAACAAACAAACAAACACGAAAAAAACATGAAAGATAAAAATTACTCGCAAATGTGTAGTGAAAAATCTTCTATAACTCTGGAGTAAGCAAGAAGTAACTGATCCTTTGAAAAAGAGAACTCGGCTTTGATTTTAGTTACTTAGTTTGTACATGTGCTAGTGGAAGGGATCCATTAGCTGCCTTCCTTTACAGATTTGATGGATGTTCTCCAATATTAAGATATTTTACACTGCAGTTAAAGGAATAGGAAATTGAAATACATGTTCTTCATGACTGTGTCTTGAGTGTCAAAATTTTGCAGTTTGAAACTTGGACCTAAAGCGTTGCAAATGGAAATGATAAATCCCAATGGACTGAGTGAATGCAGCTTTTCCTATGCGATGTGCAGCACTCCAAGGACTTCCTCAGTGGGGCTGTGGGTGCTTGGAGCTTTGTCCTGTGCCACTCCAGGATGTCATGAAATGGGACTTCACCTGCCACCAGCCCAGGTCACGCTCTGCCACCAGCCCAGCTCCTTGGACCTTGTGTTCCCAAAGAAGACACAAGGTGTTTCTGCTGCTCCACCTTTGCACAGATCCACAGAGAGCTGGGATTATCCCAAGTCTCGTGTCTCCATTGTGCCATATTCCTAAAGAACCAGCAGCCCATCCTGACGAATATGGTGAGTTATGTGGATGGTTGTCAGCTCCCTTTCCTGCCTAGAAATCCTGAAACTGCTTCTAAAAGCTGTTCCCTTCAGTTCTTGGACACCTACTCACACAGAGCTAGGGAAAAAATCCCCTGGCCATGGTTTACAAGGTGAGTTATGCCAAAGTTAGAGCTCTGTGGGAAATCTCTATCCATCCCTATCCTTTTAATATATCTATACATGGGGGTGTGCATGGATGTGTCTTGTATGAAAAGGAAGGAGTGTGCAAACAACGTGACTGACACTTTCACCCTCTGTGTTCATTCCATACTCATGGGTGCAAAGATATTATGGAAACCTTTGCAAGGACAGACCTTCTGTCCATGGATACAGAGACATCCAAGAGCCCCTCGCACTGACAGACCCTTCTGTCCATGAATTCAGAGACATCCAAGAGCCCCTGGAACCAACAGACATTGCTGCTCTTCAGCCAGTGACAGGATGAGTCCCTGAGCCTGGGGCTTGGCCTTCCTCGTGGTGAGGGACATCAAGGTAGGCTGCAGTGTGATGGAGATTGTGATGGGCTGGGAACTCACTGGGGGAAAGGAGGGAGCAGTTGTGAAGTAAAAGGCAGGTGGGGGAGAGAACTGTTCAGAGAAGGGCTGAGCTACAGCTTGAGAAAGCTGAAGAATGACATTTGGGGTCATCCCAGATTGATGTCATTTCAGAAGTTATGGAACAAGTTTAATTTTGGGGGAGGTGTCATGTTTTCCTTTGGAGGTGGACACTCTGCAGACTTGAGCTGCATTGCCAAAATGCTCAAGTCTCTGCTGGAGGTCACATCATTTCTTCTTTGGCTGATCCCGGCCCGGTGCTGAGCCCAGCAGAGCCCTGGCAGAGCCCAGAGCAGCCTCAGCATCCGCAGAGCCCGGCTGCAAGGAGAGAAACCAGAAACCGCCCGTCAGCTCAAGGCTCCTGTCCCCTTGTCCCAGCCACCCACGGTGCCCAGGCCATGCTGGCCGTGCTCAGAGCTGGGCCCAAAGCTGCCCATCACTGCTGCCTTTGGGAGCAGAGCAGGAGGGCAGGACATGTGCCCAGCCTGCAGCCAGCCACGGCAGATCCAGCCCCTCAGCAGCTGCCCAGAGCGGGATGCTCCTGTGCCCGCTGCCATCTCCCAAAAGCTCTTGTCCCACCCATGCCAAGGAGATGAGGACCCACCTCACACCATCTGCTGCCAGAAGAAAAGCTGGTCCCAAACGATGTCCTCAGCCTTCTCCAAGGGCACGGCCCATCCACACCACAGCTGGTCCCAAGCACTTCCCGATCCAGACTGGACCCCACCTAGAATTCTTCCTTTAGAAAAACAAACAACAAATTAATGAAAATAGGTTACAGACAAAAAGGGGAAAGAAGAAAAATGGTAAAAAATCTTATGTCTGTCAGGAGTTTAAGGAAGGCCCAACCCCTCCATTCTAGGGAAAAACCCACCCACGGGTGAGGGAAGCCCATGCTTTCTCCCTTCCCCCCTGCACTGTCCCCCAAAATCACAGTGATCCCAAAGCAAAGCAGGGGAGTGGAGCAGCCCAAGCCCTTCCTTGCCTGCACAGCAAAGCAGCCGTGCTCAGGTTCTGGAGTCCCACCTGTGCTC